TGTTTTATTTACATATTACAATTGATTTAGTTTGGGAGAGGGTCTGCTAAGCAGCCAGCAAGTGTACATGACTTTGTCAAATGAAGGTAAATCAACAGATAGGAATCATACAGATTTAATTTTAATTTGTAGTGTGTGTGTGTGTGTGAGAGTTTGTGTGTGTGAGTTTGAGTGAGTGAGTATAAATCACATACCTCGCCTACTTCAAAAAGTGCTGGCCATCTCGTCTGGAAGTCTCATCATTGGTGTGTCACGAACCACTTCCTGTCTCCTATATGCAAACGTCTTTTCCATTTTCATTCTTACTGCTTCCCTGTTGTTCTTCTTTTTAACATCTGAAAGAAGCTCCATTCTCACACTCTCAAGACTCTTCTCAGATTCTCCAGTAGGATAGGGGGGACAGTAGTTGACTTCAGACCTTCTTGGTTTTTTAATTCCAAAAGCAGGGCTGGATTTGCCCTCTGGTTTATGTTTGAGAGAGTTTATTGTCACCTCAGGACATCCAAGCTTTCTCAGGTGAGTGCGGTAGATTGCCAGTTTGTTCTTCAAGCTGCATTTCCATCCAGCATATCCAGAGTGGGAGCGCTTCTCAGTCAGGCAAGGATGCTTTGAGATTAGAGCCTCTCCAACTGTGTTAAAGTCTTTGTCAGAAACATAAAGTTTGTACTGAACAATTTCTTGCACTAGGCCCTCAAGAATGTTCGACTTCAGTTTAGGATCAGGAATAAACAATGTACCCTTTTCCCTGTAAGCTGCATTGCCCTGTGCAAGTTTCAACTCGGCATCATAACTAAAGTGAGGAACACGAAAGATGCTTGGCCAAGATGACCGAGAGCTGGATGACTCTGATTCTGGTGAAGATAGAATGTCAGTGTCAACACATGCACTGGACAGGGATAAAGAATCATCAAGGGAGTGATGGGCAGCTGAGGTGGGAAGGATATTAGCACACTGAAGAGTTGAGGAATCTGTCATGGCAATCACTCTAATTGTCCCTCTGTCCTGTATTTCATCCATTGAAGTGAGGTTCATGAAGTCATTTCCAAATAGTGCATCCATAAACTGAAGTCTGAAGTCAAAGTCAAGTCCACATTGTCTCCGTACCTCACTAACAAGTTCATTAACAGATCCAGGGAGTCCATTTTGAAAAGTCATCCTTTGGCTGCTGTTGTCACCCAGGATGACTTTGAGAAGTGCCGGGGTATTCATCCTTCTACGTCTCAGTCTGTAAAAAGAAGGAAAGTGACAAAAAGGAAAAAAAGATTAATGCTATATTGTTTTATGTCAATCACAGTATTTCACTCTTGTCAATACGCTAATTGATGCAACATGATGTTAGGTTTCTCATTCTCCGTTTACTCAGATATAGTATGACCACTTGGCCAGAGAATTGATTCTAGTCCCACTTTCATTTTGTGATTTGCCCAACTTCTACCTGATAAAATCCATCTGTACTAGCTTTAAGTTCATCCTGAAAACTAGACAGGTGGTGGATACAAATGAGAAGCCTAGGATGTGACCCACATAAATCAGTAAGACATGCAATAGTATGATCTATAATGGATATACAAAGATTTTAGAGAAACTCCCATGGGCAACAAAGCACAAAAAAATACAGATCCAGAGAAAATAGATGCAGGCAGATTGACAGACTCCAAAGACAAATGTCTTGTGATAAAAATTTAAAAAAAACAAAACATACAACTCAGCATGCACATTACCATATCACAAAATGTATGTGTGTAAAAAACAAAAAGAGAAATTACTTTGGACTGAAAATATATTTTATTGCAATTAATTGTTCAGTCCTACTATTAATCACCCTTTTGGTGGTTAACAAACCTTTTATGATGATCTGCCTTTTTAAGGTCACCATAGGACTTGATCCAACCATGTAAGAGGCCAGTGGATAGGGGTCAGTGAGTTCACTGAGTGCCACAAGTTTTACTTCTCTGGATGGTGACAAGCTTAGCTCAAAGGCTCTGTAGTGTTCAGTGTACCACCCACACAGCACTTTCACAATGAAGAACATCTCATTTATAACACACATCTGAATAATTTCAGCGAACTCTGGTAATCCACCTACTGATCCGTGGGCAACTATCATGCCATTGCTGTAGGCTATGCCATTGATTGATGCATTCTTAGCAAGATGCACTTCAGATATGCTAGGGCATTTTAGCTTTATAGCCTCAGCTACTTCCTCCTTCAGTACGTCGACTGGAACTGTGGAGACTGTAGATACATCTAGGCAAGATTTACCATAAGACGGTGAGTTTATGTGAAATGCGATCATCATTTGATGTTTTGAAGCTAATGTCCGTGGTAAATTCTTAAAGCAACTTGTGTGTTTAACAATGTTCTTAAAGAAACTATGTTTGGCTTCAAATCTCAT